TTCACCAATGCACAATCCGGTTTCGTTAGCGCTTCTTATCGAAATGTTGAAAATGTCAGAGATAATACCCGTGTTTCTGTTTAGTATTATTCTCAAGCATGAAGTGAGTAATTTGATTCGGTTGATTAGGAGCAGAAAAAGACTGAAAGTTCTAGTTCTACAAATCATTTTTATTGTGACCTGTGGGGCTTTCCTATCATGACTTTGCATTCAGTTTCTCGCTCTTGCTCTTGTGTTTTCACTCATGTACAGTTCCATTATGTGTCTGTTCAAGTTTCAGGTGAGCGAGTTAGATATGTTTGAATACGACCGTTTGGCGCTAAATGTTGCTGAGCATGTTGCGCGAATTCGTTTCAGAACGGGTGCGAGCTCACCAAGGCAAACTTTTGATCCATTCGTAAGTGTTCCAATTTGTAGTCGACTCCATCCATAATTGTTTTAGGACACTTTTTCTTATAGTCTTTGATTATGCCTTCTTTTTTTTGGCTCAAAGGCACTCTAAATTTTCGTATTCAGTTTTGTAGGTGTTAGTTCTGTGAAAAACGCCGGATGATCTCGTTCTCGCCTACTCTGGGTGTCACAGAGGAACGAATTTTAAAACTGAAAATTTGAAAAAAAACTTTGAATTTTTGGGCAAGAAATCTGAGCTAAGCATGCTATGACGTGGGGCTGGTGGAGAAAGACCAAACAGTGTTCAAAACGTGACTGACTTTTACGTCATGGAAAAGTGATCAGGCTCAACAGGTGTTGTGCGGCATTTATTGCACTAGAACTTAGGAGCACAAAGCAGTTTATGCTACTTGGGGGAAATTATGCAGCGCGTAGCTTGACTTGCGTAAAAAGAGCGGGCTGGAATAATTGCGTTTGACATGTGCCCGCTTTCGAGATTTCAGGCTGAGCCGAGTCAGGAGGCGGGCTGCGATGACTGGGGAAAGGGCAAGGACCGGTGTGGTGGTTTAGGTCTCGGCAGTCTTAACCGTAAAGGGAGGAGGGGGAAGGAGGTGGGGTTGTTAACTGGAAAGGGGCTGAGTCCTTAGTTGGAACTAGGAACTGAAAACAGGAGCGGGTTTTATGGGGCCCGGAACACGTGCTGAGGGGGAGTTAGTAATTTTGAACGGACCCTAGGACTTACCTTTGTGAAAACCCGATAGATAACAAGGATGTTGACAGAGGTGAAGTCCGATTTCGCGTTATTCAGCTCTCATTGTACTGCAAACGGAGCGAGTTACGAACAGAACAAACTACGAACTCAAAAATTTCAAGTTTGTAGCTCGTTCCGTTTCGAAATTACAAAATTAACTCGGAGTTGGCTCGCAAAACATTAGGTTCTGAAAACTCATTTATGACCGCTCATTTCAACTTGCACAACTTTTTATGAGCTAAAAATTTTGGACCGTCAGTGCTTTTGGGTGTGAGGAATAACGTGAATTTATGTACGGAGATCACAGATCAGAATGTATTGAACTTTGAAGGCCCCAGAGTATTTATCTCCTTTTGCATGTTGGATTAAAAAGTGTTTCAAGATTACAACTTTTCAAGTTAGCGAAGCGAATTGTAAAATTCTGAATTTCGATCTGAGGCCATCGGTCAGGACGCGGAGGAGATATCAATTGGCATCGGGTGTATTTCTTCGCACACGGTTGAGGATTGTGTTCCCGTAGTCTAGTTCTTTGGCATTCTGCTGTAGCTGAGGTGCTGACTGGGAGGGAGAGAGGCAAGCATATGCTCACATTCAGAAATTCCTCTACCATAAATCGCATAAAATTTATCAGTAGCTCTCCGCCACACGCAATTACCGATTAATTCGGCTGTTCTGTCAGGCTTTCAGGATTGGATAAAATTGGTAAAATATCTGTGAATCATTATTGATCGAATGTGCGTGAGAGAAAGGGAAAAGTGGAAAAACAGTGATAATATTTAGTTGGAAGCATTCCTGGTTGAAATGAAAAGCTGTGTTATATTTCCGAGCGTAATTCTTTGCAGCTGTAAAAGTTCAAGGTTTTAGTGGAGGTTCTGAGTGGAGTGGGAGCATTGGTTTGTTGGAACAGGAGCTAAAAAATGTGCTGACGCTTACTTTTTACCGAGTACACTTCTAGTATCGACCCACAAAGTGTAGTGCAGAACTGCTTCACTCGGCAGTGGTGATTTCGTAATTAGAGCATTATGTGCCGGCTTCTTTACGGTTCCACTGCGAACTTGGTGTGCTCTGAAATGCCTTGGGATATATGACTCACAGCGTATATTAAAAGCCGAGTAAAACGAACGGCTGACTAAAGATGGATGAGTGATTACTTTCTGCTGTAGCATTCGAGCGATTGTTCCATACGTTGGTCTTCTAAATGTTCTCTATTTTTCAGCAAACAGCTTTATGTTTTACATCCAGTATCAAAGTGTATTTAGAGAGCACATACTGTTCGAAGCTTTTCGCCCTCTGGCTTGGATGTTTTCGATTGTGGAGCGAGTTCCGGTTATGGAAGTCCTGGGATAGTCGGAACACCGCTGTCAAGTCCTGCGCCACATATCTTTTCGTTACCTAGCCATGTTCAGCATGCCCTCTGTGACCCAAGCTTGGATGACGAGACGGAAAATATTGCATCGCTTGGCCCAACTGTCGTCGATCACGGACGCAGCAAAAAGGTATTCTAACAGTGTATGAAGCTTGTCAGTTCCGAATAGCCGGAATAGCCGACTATTGTTTGTTGCGCTTAATTATAAACCATTTATTTGTCTATAGCACTTGCACTTGCTGTTCCTTCTGTCCAGCTGCTGTAAGAAACACAACTTTCGCAGTAATTTCTTGTTTCAAGGACACAAATATAGCTCTGATCCATGGCGCAGTATCAGAAACGCACTCTTGACCAACTGCCGTCATATGCATCGTCATTTGTTTGGGATAGCGTTTGAATGTGGATTAAAAAACACTTTTGTTCCTGCCAGCTTTTCAGGGAATTAACGGAGGTTATGCGTAAACAGAGAATCGTAATTTCAATTTGTACCGTTGTAGCCGCTAAGAGGCGGAAGTTAAAGCGTGCGACAGAACCCTATCGTTTTTGCAATGCTCTTGATAAATTTTAGTCTTTTATAAAGGCCTATTTCACACATACGTATCTCAGAAGGGTACGCGGTGCATCACACCAGCAAAACATACTTTACTTAATAAAGACCCAGACTACGACGCACCAGGCTTGCGGTGCGCTCATGCGTTTTTGCACCAAATCTGAAGCAGCCATGTTGTTAATTGTACGAATAGTTATTGCTTCACACCTACCTTCTGCGCTCACTAGTTTAAATCATCGTGAATTTTGTATAAAGGAAATGAGAAATTTTCGTTTAATGATCGTTTGAAAATGATCGAGCTGTTCAGCAAACAGTTTTCCCATCAAAACTTTTAAGTGCCTATAGATGAGAACCATGCATAATTGGAGACTGAGTTTGAAGTATTTAAGTTGTACTTGGATAGTGAATACTCTCCTAAAATTTCTGTTTTTTAGCTTTTCTGGTTTTAGTAATTTTCTTGTCAAAAGTTTTTTTTATATGCCTGTGTGTGAGTACCACACGTACCGGAGTGGGGAGGGGAGAGGGGGACAGCAGGCTGAATTTGAAATCTTTAATTTGTAAGTGGACGATGAATTTACCTCAAAACTTCAAGCTTCCAACTTTTCTGGTCGCCGAGTTAGCAATTTTCCCGCCAAATCTTCAATATACCCGTATATAAGGACCTCGATACCTAGGCGCTGAATCTGAAATCTTTGGCT